CAGACAAAACATGGAAACAACCCGATGTCCATCAACAGATGAATGGATAAACAAAATGTGGTATACACATACAAGGGTATATTATTGAGTCTTTTTTTTTTTTTTTAAAGATTTTATTTATTTATTCATGAGAGACAGAGAGAGAGAGAGAGGCAGAGGGAGAAGCAGGCTCCCAAGGAGCAGAGAGCCCAATGCGGGACTCGATCCCAGGACCCTGGGATCATGACCTGAGCCGAAGGCAGACGCTTAACCATCTGAGCCACCCAGGCGCCCTATATTATTGAGTCTTAATGTGGACGAACCTTTGAAGAAATGCTGAGTGAAACAAGCCAGAGACAAAAAGACAAATATCGTATGACTGCATATTATAAGGTACATAGAACAGACAAATTTATAGAAATAGAAATAGAATAGAGGTTACTGGGGACTGGGAGGAGGGGACAACCGGGAGTTATTGTTTAATGGCTAAAGGGCTTCAGTTTCAGATAATGAAAAATTTCTGGAAATGGATAGTGGTATTGAGAATACACTTAATGCCATTGAATTGTACACTTAGAAATGGTTAAAATGATAAATTTTGTTATATATATTTTACCACAATACAGATAGATAGATAGATTGACTGACTGATTGAAGTAAACTTTTTTAAAAAACTTTTTAGGTCATGTTTCTCTGCCCAGGTATTATTTCTAGGGCAGCATACCTTTCAGGATTCAAAGTGTTACAAATGAATATTCAATGAAAATAACGGCAAAAGCTGGGAGTCTCTGCATATGTCTAATTCAAAATTAATCTTTCCTCAAAGAATGACCACCCATACCATGAGTAAGTCTTAGGGTAGGGAAGGAAGCTATGACACTTTCTTAAAAACACCAAATATAGGATAAACGATCTTGTTTCCCAAACTCACACAGGTCACTGGCTTTCTAGATGTGGTGTTAGCTAGACTTGGATCACAGAATCAAATTTATTTTTGCTACAACTATCTCCCCTCCCTCTGATGCCTATCAGAGACAGCTGCTTGGGTTAGTCTTGGAATGTGGTGATGAGCTTGATTATAACTATAAATTACTTTGTAAGACTCCAAGGAAAGATCCTATATTTACTGACCCAAGGGAAAAGATTACAACATGATTTTATAAAAGAGTGTGGCTGGGGGATGCCTGGGTGACTCAGGCGGTTGAGGGTCCTGGGTTCAAGTCCTGCATCAGGCTCCTTGCTTGGCGGAGAGCCTACTTCTCCCTCTGTGCGCGCGCTCTCTCTCTCTCTGACAAATAAATAAATAAAATATTAAAAAAAAAAAAAAAAGAGTGGGCGCCTGGGTGGCTCAGTCGTTAAGCGTCTGCCTTCGGCTCAGGTCATGATCCCAGGGTCCTGGGATCGAGTCCCCACATCGGGCTCCCTGCTCGGCAGGAAGCCTGCTTCTCCCTCTCCCACTCCGCCTGCTTGTGTTCCTGCTCTCGCTGTCTCTCTCTGTCAAATAAATAAATAAAATCTTTAAAAAAAAAAAAAAAGAGTGTGGCTGGGCCATTAGCAGGGTTAAAGGGTGATGAGAAGCAACAGTGAAGCACTACAGAACCTTTCATAGGCAATGTTGCAATACTTTCTTTAACGATCCTTCTGTTGGAATTTGGCTGACATGTTTAGTGTTAAGATCTCTTTCAATCCTTTCTGGTGCACCATCAAAAATTCTGGTATTTGATAGAGGTTGTTTTGGCTGGGTGATAGCTGAAGAGTTTCTTTTTGAGGTGATCAAAATGTTCTAAATTGACTGTGGGGATGGTTGCATATATCTGTGAATACATTAAATCCACTGATTTGTAAATTAAATGGGTGAATTGTCAGGCATGTGATTAAAACTCAATAAGGCTGGTAAAAAAAAGTTAAACCAGAATCTAATCAGTTATAGGAAATACGAATGATAGAGAAATGAGTCTACAAGGAAGAAATTTCAAAAAAGTTGAACCAGAATCCTAATCAGTTACAGGAAATGAAGGAGATAGAGGAACAAATCTATAGGGAAGCAAATATAAAATCCAAAAGGCAGGCAATTCTAAAGATTTTTATTTATTTATTTGTCAGAGAGAGAGAGAGTGAGAGAGAGAGCGCACAAGCAGGGGGAGCTGCAGGCGGAGGGAGAAGCAGGCTCCCCACTGAGCAGAGAGCCCTATGTGGGACTCGATCCCAAGACCCTGGGATCATGACCCGAGCTGAAGGCAGATGCTTAACGACTGAGCCACCCAGGCTCCCCAAGGCAGGCAATTCTGTAAGACAACTAATTTGATATTCTCAACAAATTCAATGGCATAAAAACAAAGTTAGAAGTTAGGGGAGGAAGAAACTACTTTAGTTGTTGTTTTTGTTTTTAACACAAGTGATCTAAAACCAAACTCTATCTGTGGATTTTATGTGGATCTCCATTTGAATAAACCAACTATAAAAAGATATTTATGAGATAATCAAGGAAATTTAACATGTACTGGATATTAGATGATACCAAGGAATTACTGTTAATTTTGGTTAAGTGTGATAACAGCATTGTGATTAAGTAAGAAAATATCAATTGTTATACTAGTCTTTCTATTTCTGTGTATGTTTAAAGATTCCCATAATTTAAAAGTACTTTATCAGAGAGAATACAAGAAGACAAATTGATGTCAGCAAGCTCTGACAATCCTTTGAAGGAACTGTGTTGCAAAGAAGAGCAAAGAAATACTGGGGGCTGGGCACAGGCAGAAAAGTACGGCAAAAGAGAAGGATTTTTTTTTTTTTTTAAAGATGTTATTTATTTATTTACTTGAGAGAGAGAGAGAAACAGCATGAGAGCGGAGAGGGTCAGAGGGAGAAACAGGCTCCCCGCTGAGCCAGGAGCCCGATGTGGGACTTGATCCCAGGACTCCGGGATCACGACCTGAGCTGAAGGCAGTCGCTTAACCAACTGAGCCACCCAGGCGCCCGAGAAGGATTTTTTTAAATGGGAGAAATAACAGCATGTTTGTATACTGATGGGAATGATCAGGTAAATAGAGAGGAAAGGTGATAAAAGAGAAGGAAGAATTACTAAAGGACCGTATTTCAATAACGGAGTGAAGTAGGGACTGACTAATCCCTCCGCTTGTTCACAAGTGGTTCATCCAGAGTCACAGGTGTACAGGTAGACTACATGGGTACAGATGGTGGTAGGAGTATGTGCAAGTTCTTTTCTGACTGCTTCAATTTTCACAAGTACAATATGAAGCCAAGTTATCTGAGGAGTAAAAATGGGAAAAAGCGATTAGGGGTTAACAGGAGGACGCATGAAATAAGCCAACTAAAATAGTGGGGAAATGAATGAACTAGGAAAACATACTATTTGCCTGGAAATGTGAAAGCCTTCCTGAGTGAGTGGTCATAAACTGAGTGAGACCAGTCAAGAGGATTATGTTTTTCTCCAGCCACACGCAGCTGCACAAGTGCAGGTATGAAGGAAGCAGAGAGCTGGATTTTGAACGGCACTGAGGTTGTGCCAATGACATGAGAAGCTAAAGAATTCAAGGTTACATGCTAGAGAGTCATGATAACGATCATCAAATAATTTAAGTTTGGTAAGGAGAGAAAAGAAAACATCAAAGTGTGAGGCACAGGAAAAAGTCAGTAGGATCACGGATTCTACGTTCTGGGGATGAAGGATAGTTGGAATCAGGACATCAGTATAAGAGGGGCACCTGGCTGGCTCAGTCAGTGCAGCATGCGACTGACTCTTAATCTCAGGGTCATGAGTTCAAGCCCCACACTGGGTGTGAAGCCTACTTAAAAATAAAAATAAAAATAAATTTTAAAGGATACCAGAATAAGAGAGCAAGAAAGGTAAGAAGCAGCAGTCAGAGAGCAAGAAACAGAAAACTGAGATTACAGAGGGGTTATGATTATTTATAATGACCAAATCTAGGGCATGACTATGGAAGTGAGTAGTTCAGGTGTAATACAGGACATAGAATATCAGTACAGAAAAGGAGTTCAAGACTCTGAGAGGGTATGAAAAGGATCATCTCCACGTACATTGAAATCACCAAGAAATCCATATATTCTAAAATTTCTCCCATCAGCATGTTACTGTTGTTAAAAGTAAACTCCATCTTTAAAATTTTTAATACAAACATTATAAACATCTCATTACAAGGTAATCAAACTGTTATGAGCTGGCATACCATGTTTTTCCAATAATTGGTGTCCTTTCATACCTAAATGGAAAGTGTTAATACATAACTCTACCTGTCACTCTTAATAACTTTTTTAGTTTTTGACAAATGGAGGTATATTTTTAATTCATATTCTTACTGTAACTACTAAGTATCAGTTTTTTTATCAAAATTGATTATCCTGGGGCACCTGGGTGTCTCAGTTGGTTAAGCATCTGACTCTTGATTTTGGCTCAGGTCATACCTCAGGGTCAAGAGACTGAGCCCAGTGCCGGAGCCAGCTTGGGATTTTCTCTCCCTCTGTCTCTCCCTCCAGGCCCCCACCCCTGCTTGAGCTTTCCCTCTAAAAATTGATTATCCTCATGCCAGTTTCCTTAATAAGAACACATATGCTTATACCTCTGACATAGTAACTGGCTAAGGCAATGATTCACTAACGGTATATTCCCTTCTATAAAAGGGGACAGATAATACTACAAATCTATGTAATTATTTAATATTTCCTTCAGTACCTATTTCCAGAATAGATTCCTAAATTTTCCTATAATGAATCACCTTGGATCTGGGGAGTCTTAACCATAAAATTCCAGAGTTGATAAATTCTGAATGTAAAGTTTCAGAGTTGACTAGGAAATCAGGACCTGTATTACACCTCCTAACACTCTTCCCCAACTCAAATTTCAGGAAAGAGAGGGGTAGCAGCAAATCAGATTATGACACTAGTGATGGAGCCCAATCCACTGGTTCGTCTTTCCACTATTTTTTCACGGCCTTGTCAGTAATGTGCCAGTTAACATCCCAGATTTTAAATATGTTACTTACTGTGGTATGATGGGATATACTGCCAACAATGTTGAGGTTTTTGAGCAGTTGAGGAGAACCACTGTATTGTCCAGAGATCTGCTTCCTGACTTCAGCAGCCACAGTTCTATAACAAAGAAAGTAAATATATTATTTAAAAAGAAAACAACCACGTTTAAAATGGAAGGAAACTAAGTATATTAAATATTCATTTAAAAACCAACAAAATCTCAGAGTATCAACAGGGCCATAAATTCATAAGATACTTCAGTAAATACTGCCTATAATTACAGTAGAACATCTTTATGCTGATGTAGGACACAAAAGTGATAGCCAACTTACAGAAGGCTTTTTTTGTATCTGGCATTTCAGGAAACATACTTTGGCCTTCAACACAGCAGGAAGCTATAATAAGACAGATATACATATATATATTAAAATGTACATATCTTAAGGATATAAAATTCTAAAATATTTTATAAACAAAGAATTAGGAAGAAAAAAAAACTCCTCTTTCCTTTCTAATATCACTAGCTCCTCATTCATGTCCCAGAAAACTATCCCCTATTTTTACTTAACTAACAGAAATCGGCCTTAATACTCTGGCATTAATGGCTTTCCATAATCTGACCCTAATCACCTTTCCTGCCTTGCGTGTCCTTTCCCAAATTCTTGTCAGTGAACATAAATTGCTTCCCACAAAGCTGTTTCTCTCCTATACTCACAAATTCAATCCTTAACTAGTTTTTAGGCTAAACTCAAATACCAAGACATGCATACAAACGTCTTGGCTCATCCCAACTAAAATTACCACCCTTCATTGAAACTCTTAGAGCATTTATAATCTAATGCATTTTCCTCCTCCCTAGTTATTTTTCCACATTTTATTTTTGCTCTATATAAACAGAGGCAGTGGTTTCACTCATCATTGTTTTCCCTAAAATATTTAGCATGCAGCACTCAAAACAGGTGACTGGTTTAGTCCTATGAAATATACAGTATTACTGAACTTTCTGACAAATGAAGTAAACCACAAAAGCATTACCATAATACAACAGATTAAGTCTTTATTTGAATTAGGATTAGAGTTTAGAAGTTCCACCACTTCAAGCTGGTTACTAACCCTTGGGGGCATACTAGTATTTCAAATTTACTTACATGGCATTTCTAAAACAAAAATATTTTAGAAATTCAAATGACTTTATACCTCATCATTCTCCATATTCCTCATATTTCACAAAACTATAAAGCAAAATATTCAATGAGTCCCAAATCCAGTAACTAGCAACTTCCTCACATTAGTAACATTTTTATTAAATAGAAATAAGAACTCAAAAATAAAAAAAGAAATTATAACTTAAGAACACAAAATAAACACCACTATCCACAGATTTTGTGCAATTCTTTTTCTGTAGTCAATATCTAACCTCTACACTATGATCATCAACTGTCCACTTCCTTATTTTATAAAACTAGCCTTCTGGGTTTTTTTTACTCTTTTCCAAAAACTAAACCCTACTTTCTCCAATCATTCTACTGCAAATAAATTGAAATAGGTCTAATGACCTGATTTCTGGGCCAGCCTGATGCTTTTGTTCTGCAGCGTTCTCAAACCAGAGGCTGAATTCGGAGCCCTGAACATGTTGGTCCCCATACAAATCTCCAGCTGAATTTCTAAACAATCTCATTTTCCAAAAAATATCCAGATTTATGATACAATCTTTTCCCCCACCTTCTTCTCTTCCATACCTCCTTCCTTTTTTCATGTTCAACCATTCCACACATATTTACTCAGCCTATTTTGAGCCTATTACTCAAGTAGAAATTTTTGATACAAAGGTAAAAAAAAGTAAGTCTCAAGATACTGAATTAGCTCAACTTTTTTTAATGGGTGATTTGAGGTACTTTAGACCATTTCTGTGTTTTATAAAAGGCTAATTTGTTCTTCATAATTGCTGAAACCTAGAAGTTCATCCTTCAATAAGTAAATGGATATACAAACTGCAGCACATCCATACAATGCAATATTATTCAGCAATAAAAAGAAATATGTTATCAAGCCACAAAAGACATGGAAGAACCTTAAAAGAATCCTGCAAGTGAAACAAGCCAATCTGAAAAGCCTGTGTACTGTATGATTCCAACTATATGACATTCTGGAAAAGGCAAAACTATGGAGACAATTAAAAAAACAACAACCAGGGATTGCCAGGGCTGGAGGGGGAGAAGGAAGGGCTAAGAAAGTAGTACACAGGGGATTTAAAGGGCAGTGAAATTACTCTGCATGATTCTATAATGTAAAAAGATGTCCTCATGCATCTGTCAAAACCAACAGAAGGTACAACACAAAGAGCAAACCCAATGTAGTCCATGGACTGTCATTAATAATAATATATCCACATTGGCTCATAAATTATAAAATGTACCGCACTAATGCAACGTATTAACAATAAGGGAAACTTGGGGCACCTTGGGTGGCTCAGTGGATTAAGCATCCGACTCTTGATTTCAGCTCAGGTCTTAATCTCAGGGTCATGAGTTTAAGCCCCACACTGAGCTCCACCCTGGGAGTGGAGCGTACTTAAATACTAAAATTAAAAAAAAAAAATTGGGGGGGGCGCCTGGGTGGCTCAGTCGTGAAGCGTCTGCCTTCGGCTCAGGTCATGATCCCAGGGTCCTGGGATTGAGCCCTGCATCAGGCTCCCTGCTCAGCAGGGAGCCTGCTT